CACACACAACACACACACACACACACTTACACACACACACACACACACACACACACAGAGAGAGAGAGAGAGAGAGAGAGAGAGAGAGAGAGAGAGAGAGAGAGAGAGAGAGAGAGAGTGGAAGCAGCGTGCAATGTCAGCACCTGTTGTCGAACTATGTGCCCTGGTTGCCAAGCAGGTCACAGAGAAGGCAGACATCGCAGCGAGAGGCACAGGCATCTGATTGCAACTTTCCATACTTAAGAGGCAAGGTTACTGCAGGTGATGACTATCTTCTCCTAGAACACTTCACTGACACTGCCTGGTTTCTGAACATTTGTGGAATGGGTGAAGGCAACTTGGCTACATCCTCTCATCTTGGAGAGTCGTTTGGCCTTGTTCACGGACGGAAACCCGGCGCAAGCAGGTATGGTTTATCAAGTCCTCACCCGGCCTGACGGGTGAATGAAGGAGAGGAATAGGGATCATGGACATGTACATTCTCCCTTAATGAACATGCAGCGCAGAGTCGCAGACTCAGTTGGGCTGCTTGATGTCAAAAGCAGGACCCTTGTTGATTGCCAGGAACTTTAAGGCCTAATTAGCAGAGTGCAGAGGGTTCTTGTGTCAGGGGGTCATTCTCCTTTTCTCTTGTCGAAAGAGGGTATATCACATAATATCAGTTGGCTGGTTAGTGCAAGCCCTAGGCTGTGAAGGTGAGTCAGAGTGCAGAGGGTTCTTGTGTCAGGGGGTCATTCTCCTTTTCTCTTGTCGTAGGCCTGTCTCTTATACACATCTAGATGTGTATAAGAGACAGGGACAGGCCCTAGGCTGTGAAGGTGAGTCAGAGTGCAGAGGGTTCTTGTGTCAGGGGGTCATTCTCCTTTTCTCTTGTCGAAAGAGGGTATATCACATAATATCAGTTGGCTGGTTAGTGCAAGCCCTAGGCTGTGAAGGTGAGATGAGATGCTTCCTCCAAGTGGTGGAAGTCATGACGCAACGATATGTCTTTCGTCAACCAATTCAGAGTTGTATGCCGTCTGTCATCCCGAGCGTCCGCGGAGGCTCAGGAAGGAGTCTATGCTCCACGAAAGCGAAGGGCGTAGGCCCATCCTTCAGGATGCAGCTGTGGTTCCTCAATGGGACTGCTGGGAAAAAATTCCTGAGGAATTTGCCACATCAGTGACAACACAAGAGATCATTTGCTTGCTGACTTCTGGCAATCATCAGGAAGGAGACCAAGTAGTTGGAGTGATTGGATCTGAAGGCGTCGGCAAATCCACAGTTGCGAAGCAGGTGATTGATGCTCATCCTGTCCGTCACCACTTCGCCGATGGAATCTTCTGGTTGTCACTGGGACGAGAGCCGAAGATTGCGGGCTTACAGAGGGATATCTTCAACCAGATTGAACAGAGCCAGGACTCGACCGAGTCCAAGGCAGAGATGAAGAAGGCTCTCTCTCAACACAGCAAGCTATTCCAGAGGGACCCTCTCACACTGCCGACCCCCCAGGCAGCAGCAGCTGCACAGTTTGAAGAGCCACTACGTAGGAGACAGGAAAATCTGCTTGATCGTGAGATCACGCTATTGAAGAGAGAGTTGAAGCTCTTACGCCTTCTTTGCCAGAAACATCGGTTTTGCAAGCATCCATTTTATCTCCAAGATGACATATTCTGCCAGCAGCTGAAGGCAGAGATATTGCTCATGAGATGGCAGGCTGAGCAGGTCATGCTGGACCGAAAGAAGAAGCAGTCACTTTTATCTAATGCGCAAACCGACAGGACACTGGATCTCCCAGAAGATGATAGCAGGGATAAGAAGGTACTGACAGCAGCAGCGGAGCGGCAGAGAAAGGACAGCCCTTCTTGCTCGGAGATCGCCCGCTATACCTATCTGGCATCCCTCTTAACAGGCAAGAAGGTGCTTCTCGTACTAGACGATGTGTGGGAAGATACGGAACATGTCAGAAGGTTAAGTGCTCTGATCGATCCGTCAACACCTAGCAGACTGCTGTGCACATCAAGGAGTGAAGATGTGATTAGTGCACTTGGAGGGAGGAGGTTCTGGAGGGTAGGGGCTCTTGACGAGGCAGAAGCGCAGCGGTTGTTTTGCCAATACGCTTTTCAGGGCAGGATCGCTCCTCCTGACATTCTCTGCCGCAGTGTACGAGACGTTGTCAGATCCTGTCATGGCCTCCCTCTCTCCCTGAGAGTCCTTGGGTCATATTTCTGCGGCAAGCGGACTGTTCGAGAATGGCAGGAAGCTTTTGCTGTCCTCCTGCGAAATGATGGAGGGCAGGGAGGGTTGTTTTCCTCCCTCTCCGATGACTGTGAAAACCACGAGGCATCTTCTGACGACGTGACTCCTCCTTGTCTTATCAGCAGCGCAGAAGCACTCAGCGACACAGACAGCATGTTGGCAGAGAGTTTCTACCTCCTTGCCGCATTCCCTCGCAACTTTCCTATCCCCATTTCTGGCGTCATAGACATCTGGACGGTGCACTTCCACATCGGCCGAGACATGGCATTTCGCATGCTTAACTGCCTGGCTGCCAGATCCCTTCTGGAACTGAATTATGATTCTTTGAGGAGGGCTGACCCCCCTGCCAGTCGCACAAATAAGATTGATCAGAATCATGGGAATAGGTGGCGATTGGCAGCAGCGACCAATCATTGCGGACACAAGCCCGTTGCCCTCGACAATGCAGATGTCAGTGCTTCCGCCGGAATGCCTCAGGAAGAGGAGAGGTCTGGATTCTGCCATGTTCATGGATCACTCCATGATTTGGCATGCAGCCAGTATCAGAACCACGGGCTGTCAGGCGCTCTTTTTCACCCTGATCTGCGATCATTTTCGCAGTTGGAGACGCAGTCGCAGCCACCTCAGATTCTATCATTGCATTCAAGCCCCTTACCTTCCCTGGCACCCCTGGCTGACCCCTGCTGGCTTCACTCACTGAAAGTACTAATTTTGGCAAACTGTGATGGACTTACGAGACTCCCATCGTCCTTCTTCGAACCCATGGGAAGATCGTTGCGCTTTCTTGACCTCTCAGGATGTGAGAAGCTAGAACATCTGCCACGATCCATTTCCTGTTTATCGAGGCTCGTCGTCCTGCGACTGGATGGGTGCTTGAAGCTCTCAAAGCTTCCCGCTAGCCTCTTTGCTGGACTTCGAAGCCTGGAGGTCCTCAGCTTGATGCGCTGCTTCTGTCTCAGGGTCTTACCTCATCCTCCTGCTGAAGGACAGAATTCACGATTGAGGGTGTTGAGGCTAGACAGCTGCATAAGCCTGGGCAGGGAAGCGCAAGTGGCCACGGAAAGGAAGCCAGACGATGGGGGTCTGCCCAAGCCACTTGTGAATGGAGAAGTTCAAGTTGAACTCAAATGCGGCGAAGATTCCAGTTCTACCTGCCTCGATGACGAGGGTGTCAGGTTGAGCCATCAGATATGTGCAGGACAAGAAGAGCAAGGTCAGCAGCACAGCAAGTCAGGCAATTGTTCTGAAGGTGAAAACGGCGACGATGATGATACTGACCAAGGACCTGAGAGCCCAGGAGATGGAGATGCAGATGACTGGGGTTCTCTGAACCTTGGTAGCTTGAAGACCACAAGGCAAGGAGGATTTGCCAGGTGGATCACTATCATCCAAGAGATTATAAAAAAAAAGACACCAAAGAAGAAGGATGCTAGCTGTAACCCTCAAGCGGGCTCTGCTGCTGTCAGTGCCGCTGCTAGTGGGATGCAGAAGCTGCCCTCCTTTGGTCGATCCACATCGTGGGGTTTCACCCGCCAATGGGGTGCCAGGTTAAAGCAGGAAAGCAGTGCAACTGCACACGAAGGATCCTCGTCCGGTCAGACTACAGATTCCGCAGAAGAAAACGGCGATGGTGATGGCGATGGTGATCGTGATGGTGATCGTGATGGTGATCGTGAGGGTGAGGGTGACGGTGAGGGTGAGGGTGACGGTGAGGGTGAGCGTGAGCATGATGAAAACAGTTCTGATAGTGATGCAGAAGAGGAGGAGGACAAGGAGAAGAGCAGTGATGGCAACACTGGTAAACATTCTGACCTTGAACAGGTGTTTGCGAACGGGCCACGAGAACTAAAGAACAGTGCAAGTGGATGCATCAATGGAGGCCAACATGTGCAATTATCCCCTTTGTATTCAAGTACACGGGAGCGATCTGCACTGTCTCTTGCGCAGACTCCTGGAGGGCCATCGTCACCTACCAAACCATCGTGTCCTGTTGCCTCCTACAGTGGCACTCCGCAGTGGACTGTCGCAGGTCTTGGAGGCCTGACTCGCCTTGAACGTTTGTCCCTGAAAGGGAGTGAGATTGACTCCATGTCCCCTCTAGCATTCCATCGGCTGTCAATACTGAAATCTCTGGACCTGAGTTACTGTGTGAACCTGCAAGAGCTACCGGACGAGATTGGCGAGCTGGCATGCCTCGAGGTTGCCAACCTGGAAGGCTTACCATTCAAACGACTTCCTGCGACGATAGCCACCCTTAGAAATCTGCGCGTTCTTCGGATCAACGATTCTGAAAACCTGGTTGCTCTTCCCGAAGAATTCGGCGTGCAGAGTGCTCTCCCGAGCCTCCAGGTACTCGAGATGGCAGGATGCCACAAGATCAAGCACCTGCCGCGCCTCGAGGAGGGCGGTCTTCCCAGCCTCTGCGTCCTTGTTCTCTCTTTCTGCACAAGACTGAGACTGCTGCCTTGTCAGCTTCAGCATCTACCTCATCTGCAGCTGTTAGATCTGGGAGGCACCTTCCGCTTACAGGAGTTTCTCCCGCCGAGAGTCGGCAGCCTGACGATGAAACCAAGTGAGCAAACCGATGCAGGAGCTCCCCGCATTTTCCCTGACTCTCGAAAGAATACCGATATAACTATGGATGCCGCCTATAAGTTGGAGATGAGCCAGAGCAGCGCTTTAGACTATAATTATGGCAATTTGCAATTCGAGTGCTTGAAAGAGACCTTGCGGCTATCCCCTTCCAGTGCTCTTAGAGCAAACGACGTCAATTGTTTTCGGAGCTTGAAGTGCCTTTCCTTGTGCTGTCGAAGATTACAACCTTCTGTGCAGCGAGGCCTGCGTGAACTGGTCCATCTTGAGGAGCTGATATTGAGCCATGTGAGCTTGCCCCACGGAGAGGATCTCGCCTGTGTCCAGCTGCCCAACCTGCGCCGACTGAGTATTCACTTCCCTTACCAACCAGCAAGACTGCTCGAAGCCATCGTGCATCGATCGGCATGCCAAGAACTAGAAGAACTTCATCTGTCTTGTTTCCGATCATCCCACCTATGGCGTTTTCCTGCGCTAAAGGAAGGGGCGCTTCCACGTTTGCACACATTGAGTTTACAGGGTTGGCCTCGCTTGCGCTTTCTTCCAAATTCGCTCGGTCATATACAGTCGCTCACAATGCTCCAGTTGATCGACTGTCCATGCATTGGGTCCTTGCCAAAAAGTCTGTCGATTAGGAAAAGGATAGGAAAGCTCGAAGTTGTATATCGGCGCCTTAGAGTTTAGCAATGAGCAATGAGAATAGGCTCATATGGTAGGGGGAGGGAAAGAGCGATTGCTGCCACCACAAGCTGTGCTCCAGTTGCTTGACTGTCCATGCATTGTGTCCTTGCCAAAAAGTCTGTCGATTAGGAAAAGGATAGGAAGGCTCGAAGTTGTATATCGGCGCCTTTAGAGTTTAGCAAGAGAGAATAGGCGGCCACCAGAAGCTGTGTTAATTGCACTCTTGGCATCTCAGCAGGGACCTTTCGTTAATGTATCATTTTTACGATAACTCCCCTCAACATCGTTTTATGTACCAAGGATTGAGCTTTGAGCTATTCATACCCAATGTCGGTCCTCGATGACTCGACCAATTGCTGTTCGGCACAGTTCGTGTATGCCAATGAGCCGGATAGCCAGCTCGCTCCAATTGTGTATGTACCTGAACAAGATACGTGTATTTGACTATCCTCTCTTTGGGCTGGTTGATAGCGTACATAGTACGCCGTACATAGTACGTATGCATTGCTATCAATTAGCATCCTCTCTTTGTGCTGGTTGATTGTGTACATAGTACACAGAACACAGTACACAGTACACAGTACACAGTACACAGTACATAGTACATAGTACATATTGTACATTAGTACGTAGTGTACATTAGTACTTAGTGTACATAGTACATAGTACATAGTACATGTATGTGTACATAGTACATCTGCATTGCTGTCAATTAGCATCCTCTCTTTGGGCCGGTTGACTGTGTACATAGCACATATATGTGTACATAGTACATATATGTGTACATAGACATATATGTGTACATATGCATTGCTGTCAATTATCATCCTCTCTTTGGGCTGGTTGATTGTGTACATAGTAGACAGTACATAGTACATATATGTGTCGGTGTTAATGAGTCTTGTGACAGGTTAGCGTAGCGGTGCCTAATTTGAACAGCAGCAAGTAACTTGGCAAGCGAGGACTTGCATCTGCCGCTGTGGATGGTGTCCTCCGTCTCACGCATTTTTTTTTTTTATGGAGGTACAGCTAAAAGGAAATGGAACTTGGGACAGCTAATGGTCAGACTGGTGTCCTGATCGTCCCCCACAGCACTACGAAGATTTGTATCTCACTGAAGAATCGGTCCGTGACTCCGCGTTGCATTCATAATGCGCAATATGTGGTCCTCTACGCCTGCTCTTGCATGGGGAGCTCGTCGTCATTCTCTCCGCATCTGGCATTGCTAAGCTCACTCTTGTCTGAGCATTTGGGGATACTCTGTCAGAACAACAGCTGACAAATGAGAAATGAAGTTCTTTCATTCACTGAACCGTCTCCTTTCTTCTTCTGCAGCTTCCAGCTCTGAGGTGCGGTGTGTTGTTAACTTGTAACACAGAGCCGCCGCCGGCGCATCGCTATTCCAATCCCCTCTGTCCATCGTCTTCCACAGTGAGGCCCGGTGTGTGAGGGTGGTTCGGAGAAGATATCATTTCAATGCGTCCTCGTTTTGAAATCGGAAGAATGAACTGAGGACAAGTGTGAGAGAGATGAAGATCTGTCTCTGGCACTACACGCGTTTTGGTTGAGCTGGTTGGTTGTGGCTTGTGTACGTCAGCACTGTGAGTCGAGGAGCATCTGGTGGAGGGGTTTGCCCTGCTAGCGTCTTCCCCCGGAGGGAATGCATGGTGGTTATAGCTGTCTTTGCGGGCAACTCTCGGTCTAGATACAGCAATAATGACCGGCGTGTGATGTGTGTCCTATTTGGGGGGAAGATGGTAGCGCTGGCTGCAGTGAGAAGAAGCTGAGGAGGTACTGCATCCTGTAAACTTTAACTGCTGAATGTTTCAGGTTGCCATTCATACGGGAAGACGGAATAGTGAATCGCCGGATACTGCAGGCGGGAGCAGGCGCTGAGGAAGGAGATAACAGGCCAAGCAAATTTAACAGCAGCTCTGAGAAGTCAGGGAAAGCAGCAGCAAACTTGACAGACAAGTGAATAATGGATATTGTAGGTGGGGGAAAGGTGCCGAGGAAGGAGATAACTGGCTATGGTGTCGAGGAAGGAGATAACTGGCTATGGTGTCGAGGAAGTAGATAAGTGGCTATGGTGCCCAGGAAGGAGATAAGTGGCTATGGTGCCCAGGAAGGAGATAAGTGGCTATGGTGTCGAGAAAGGAGACAAGTAAGTGGCTATGGTGTCGAGGAAGGAGATAACTGGCTATGGTGCCGAGGAAGTAGATAACTGGGCTAAGCAAACTTAGCAGCAGCTGCAAAGAATCAGGGAAAGCGGCTGGCACACTTGGCAGACTTTACTGCCGGCTGCTGAACGGTGCAGGTTGGATTCATGGGGAAGGCGCAGGTCAGATGCAAGAGCTGGGACCAGGCAAAAAAAAAAAAAAAAAAAAAAAAAAAAAAAAAAAAAAAAATCATACGGGTTCGGAAAGGATGACATGGCAGTATCGGATGAATTCGTGCATCACAGTGCATGTACGTGTGTGTAATCGTGGCCAAGCATTTATGGAACACTTTTGTGCGCAATTGGTCAAAAGACTCAACCTGCAATCGGTCAAAAGACTCAACCTGCAATCGGTCAAAAGACTCAACCTGCAATTGGTCAAAAGACTCAACCTGCAATCGGTCAAAAGACTCAACCTGCAATTGGTCAAAAGACTCAACCTGCAATTGGTTAAAAGTTAAAAATCAACCTGCAATTGGTTAAAACTCAACGAGCTCTGGGTTTTTTCGGGACGTCAGTCAAAATTTGAGCGATACAGAGAGGATTAGAATTGCCTCTGTATTGCAAGGAGGATATACCCATAAATCGAGAAATGATCCAGTTAGCGAAAAAAAGAAAGAGAAGAAAAAGACAAGACAAGTAAGGTCTGGCTTACTCTCACTCAACTGTCATGAGGGGCAGTTTCTTAATAGTTGGCTCGACAATTCAAGGCACGCTCAAATCTCAGCTATCGCACGCCGCATGCAGAACAGTTTGGTTGACATTTTGTAGCACTCGCCCACAGCGATCACTTAGAGCTCGTGCGTTCGTCCATCAGCATGCAATTTCCGCCATGCATTCTGTAGCATCTGTACAGAGGTTTGAAGTATGAACACTGCGCGTAAATGGACAACAGAGTACTGGAGACGTGTACACTCGCCATGATCTCCCAAAGCGACCTGTCAGAAGTCAAACAAGGCAATATCAGTCTTCTAGGTATCTGCAAATTGTACAGTCTCTGACACTCTGTAATATGGCCCCATCCTCTTCCTCCAAGTTAAAAGACTGGCGAATGTAGGAATAGAGTGGATGCTTTTTCCTGACATACCCCAAAATTTTGTCTGTATCAGGGACGCTGGACCCGTTTTCCAGCAGGTGGGGAGCCTCTCCTTAGGTGCTAGCGGTGTCTGCTCTTACCAGCACATCTAGCACTGAAAGGGAGTTAAAAAAAAAAGGAATAGAGTGGATGGGAGAAGAGCGGAACGCTGACCTCGAAAGGCGCGCTGCTTCTGTGCCATGGCCAGGTGATGAGATGTTGAGCTACTAAGCAAGTTACCAAGAACAGCTATTCGTTCACGGACAGAAAGCCGTGTGACATTGGAATGGTCGATGACTACCTCAAGTGCTATCTGCTGTAAGGCTCTGGAAGCTGTAAAAAAAAAAAAAAAAAAAGGAAAAAGGCATCGGATTCTTCAAGCTGTGGATTTCTGCGATGGAGGCTCTAAATCATCTCTCAAGGGGAACCACCTGCAATTCGGATTGGATAACAATTCGGCAATTTGGGACACTTCGGCAATTTGGCTTCCCAAACTGGGGTCAATGTGGGAGAAATAGCTCAGTGGAAGAGCCAAGTGCGTCAGTTTGAAATGCGGGCCAAGCTCCTGTTGTTTCAGCAATCCCCCCAAGTACCTCCAGCTCCAGGTGACGATCGGCACGCCGATGAGAGTGCTGCTGCGAATCGTCTACCAAGTGAGTCAATAAGAGGCATCAGCTCATCGCCACCACACCATGGGGACACATACTAAGAAGTCAATCAGTTGCCGACTTATAAGGCGTGTTGACTTGTCATCTTTGACTCAAGCACAGAGGGAGTGCCAGTAAACAGTGCGCACATTGGTGGTATAGAGGTTTACGACTTGGAAAGGCTGACGGCAAGTCTGCAACTGAGGAGCCGTGGCCCGTGGGGGAAGGTCGCAGGAGGGGGAGCATTCTGTCTGAGTCCGCTCTCCTTAGTTGAGACAAGCTGTCTGTTACGCATGTATGTATATGTGGGTTTCTTGTCGCGCCATGACGTACGTCTCACTGGAGCAAGGACGACGTGCTACGGTGTTAATTGAGCGAGCAGGGATTTTAGAAATGCCAGGATCGAGGACACAACAAACGAATGAGAGAGGTCCTTCAGAAGAAGCCTAGGAGAGGGAAGAAGGAGGGGGAACACTCTGGCTCCCTGAGTTGAGACAATGACAACTTGAAGGTGTTTGTTGCTTTTTCTTTCTTATAAGGTTGTAAAGCGGTTGCAATGTATTTTTGGTGCAAAGCATGGAGTCCAGCTGACTTGCCACTGCATTTTTGCGGCGACATCGACTCAGACAAATCAATCCCATGTTGGGCTTTGCCTTTAACAGACGATGATTTCGATGCCGGCTTTTATGTCCGCCTTGTTGGCTTTGACAGTACTTTAATGTGCATTTTTAATATGCATTTTGCGGCTGCTGCCGGGTTGGTTGTTCCCATCTGTTTGTTAGGTAGACACAAGGGCTTACAATTTGTTGTCATCATCAGAATGGACTGGCAAGCGGGCGAGTGGGCGGGCAGACGGCAGGAAGCAAAAGGAAGGCAGGGAGGAAGCAGGGGAAGGGAACGGGTGGCAAGTACTCTGGTCCTCGTGCGATACCCGCTACAACCCTCCACAGCTCATCGACTGAAGGGTTTGTTTTCATCGGTTCATCGGACACTGTGCTTTTGTCGTGCTCGATACGGTCCCTCTACGGTTCCGATCAATTTTCACACTGTGGATGTTGAATTCATGAATCTGAGCCGTTCTTTGCCCTGGCTTTTCTCCGGTTGCTGATCTCAGAGAGCTGAGCTTTTTCATAGTACGCCTTTCGATACCAGAATGCCCAAAAGGATAACGTACATCTTTTTCCTTTTCCCTCTGGGTGCTATTGCCTTTTTTGAAGGTGTTGCTTGTAGGTACTGGCCTTTTCAAAAACTGCATAGGTGCTGACCTTTTCGAAACACACTCATCGAGCAGTGCCTACTAACAACTCCGAAACGACTGTTGGGGAAGACAGTGGATTGCGAGCGGGAGAACAGAGCATGTGCTATAGACTGTGCTTGTGGGAGAGCAGAGAGTGCGTGCAGGACAGAGAGTGCTTCGCATGGGACAGAAGAGTGCTCTACAGGGGGGAGACACAGAGAGAAGGGCCTCACTGCAGTGCACAACAGTCTAACTGCATCTGGTGCAGGTAGCGATTCTGATACATTCAAACTCGGGTCCAATTATTCCATCCCAATGCATATGGAGTGTTGAGCACTGGAGCAAGGTGCACTGTGTGTGTGTGTGTGTGTGTGTGTGTGTGTGTGTGAGAGAGAGAGAGATAGATAGATAGATAGATAGATAGATAGATAGATAGATAGAGAGAGAGAGAGAGAGAGAGAGAGAGAGAGAGAGAGAGAG